CGGAAGAAGCTCTAGGCCAAAATGTTGGAAACCTTCTAGAGCATTCGACAGAACGTCTTCAATTGCGAAGTTGAAGAGGAATGGGGACATAGGGCAGCCCTGTCGCACACCGCTATTGACAGTGAATTGCGAGGAAAGCTTGCCATAGACCCTCACTCTGCCGCATGTATGAAGGTAAAGTGCTCGTAAGATGGCGGTATATTTCTCTGGCACCCCGTTCTTTAGTAAGCAACGCCATAAAGCAGGACGATCAACGGAGTCAAAAGCGGCACGTATGTCTAGAAATGCAATGATAGTGGGCCTGTGATAAATGTGGCGATGTTCGAGGAGCTGGCGGAGCGTGAAGATTTGATCCACACATCCGCGGCCAGGACGGAAACCAGCTTGTTCTTCACGGTAGTATGATTCACGTACTGGGGATAGCCTGCGAAGCAGAATAGATGCCAATAGTTTAGAGGCAACCGAAATAAGACTAATCCCGCGATGATTTGCACATGAAGTGCGAGCGCCTTTCTTGAAAATCGGGATAATGACTGATTCTCCCCAAGAGGAAGGCACTTTCTCTTCATGCCAAATTTTTGCGAACAGCGCGGTCAGCTGGTTAATGATCGCCACACCGCCGTACTTGAATAGCTCCGGAGGAAGTCCGTCTAATCCGGCAGCCTTGAAGCGCTTCAAGCGTCGAATCTCAAGGCCGACTTCCGCTTCGCTGGGTGGATTCAGAGGGACGAGCCAGGGTGGACAACAACGTGTACTGCATGTACTGATGGATGGTGGAGGCCAGTTGAACTGCGAGTGAAAGTGCTCGGCCCAACGGTCCATACGCCTCTGTTGGTTGGTGATCGGAGACTCATCCACCTCACAAATGACCTCACTGACACCAGGTTTCCTGAGGCCAGTGGACCGAATGAGTTGGAAAAGCCTGCGAGTGTTGCCAGAGAGGGCAGCGGTCTCCATCTCTAAAGCACGTTCAGACCACCATGTCTCGCGATCCTTGCGTAGGCTTTGCTTGAGCAGCCGGTTGGCAGAACGGCGCCGCTCGTTGCAATCTGATTCCGCGGGTATATCTTTGCGGCGTTCGAACAGCTCCAGAGAACGAGCAGAGATCCAAGCCTTCAATGGGCGTCGAGTTAGGCCACAGCATGACTGTCCGGAAATGGTCATTGCCTTCCGTATACAAGTCCAGTGTTGTTCCACTTCTTGCGGTGGATTGCAACTGAGTGCATATGCCAATGAAGACTGATAGCTCGTCTGGACAGAGGAATCAGTTAATCTGTTTACATCAATCTTGCGGTGCTTCGTGTTTCGGGATCCTCCAAAACACATACAGATTTTCGCGCAGACCAGAGCATGATCTGAGTCAACGAATGTGGACCAAAAGGACCTGCAGTCTAGTACGCTGCCGCGCCATCTGAAGCTAATTGCAATGTGATCAATTTGAGACCACGGTTGTGTTGAAGAAGGGGGACGCCACGTTGCGGAACGCTTCTTCGTACGCCTGAAGTTAGTGCTCGAAAGAAACAGACGGTTGTCTTCGCACAATGTGAGAAGTCTCTCTCCGTTATCAGAGCGGTTCTCATCGAGCGCGTGATGACCACCAAGGTGGCGTTCGTATGGTAACAGGCGGCCAACCCGTGCATTAAAATCCCCAGCAAGGATAACGACATCCGACTTTTTAGCATTAGTCAAGAGTTGTTGTAGATCCCGATAGAATTCGTCCTTGACCGAGTCGCCACTGCAGTCAGTTGGAGCGTACACAGAGATCACAAACAAGTTGCGTCTCTCTTCGCGGTGCCTGTTGATTCTACACGAACCCCGAAGCCGAACTGCACATAATCGGCTGTTAATAGGGAACCAGTCCAGTAGTGCCGCCTCGGCCTTGTCACTTAGTGCTATACCTACACCAGCCAGACCCACTGAGGCTGCTTCTGGATCTCCAGAAAGACGCAGGTGATATCTGGCTTCGTGGTCAGTGGGGGATGTCAGTGTAAGCACAGTGCTGGGATCTTGCAATCGGGTTTCTGAAAGGCAGCAGACATCAATGTCTAGGGACTCTAGAGTGCGCGCTAGACCGGCTTGCTGTCCAATCTGCATGAGTGTCCGAACGTTGAGGCACGCCAGACGGAACGAGGATCGGGGACGAAGGAGAGCCATGGGTTGAACCTCTTGGTCTGCGGCGCAACCGGAATCGCAGCCAGATTGCTGAGCACATGAATCGGGTAAAGGAAAATGAGGATTGTGAACAAACAAACAATTGGCGTGTGATGAAGTCGCGTGAAAGTGACTAGCAGAAACAGCAGCTGATGAGCAAGTTGTAATACAGTCCATGGTTTTGCGAGAGGGCGTGATACTACCCGGTTGCCCAAGCCGAAGTAGGGAGTTGACTTAGGGGACTCCACCCCGAGCCTTTGGCTAAATAACCTACCCGCAAGGCAGCGGGGCGAATTTAGGGAATCGCGCCCATTGGGAGGCGTTGACTGAATGTTCAGTTCATGCGTCTTTGTTTGGTAGATTACCAAACAGGGGCCCAATACTCCCCATATAGTCAGCACACCTGCTGGAATACAATGTCCCACCGAGGTGGAACATTGTCGCCGAACACTTTGCTGGAACGGGGTACACCCGAACCACCCAGCTGGCACCACGAGGAGGTAGTTCGGCCAGCCAGCCGCTTAGGCATTGCCGACGAGGACGTCCGGATTTCTTCGTGGGACGAGGACGCCTGCATTCCTTCGTGGGACCAGGACCGTAGACTAAAGTGCGGTGGGGGGGAGTGACACCTCCCAAGCGCACCGTCGGGTCTGCAGCAATGGGAAGGTCCTGTCGGCCTTTTTTCTGGACTAGGCAGTTTTTTTGCAGTCCGACCAGCCCGCCCCGACGGCCCACCGACGATGCACTCTGGTCCACACGATCGTCATAAATAAAACTAACAAAAGCCTGGATCCAGCGAAATCTGCTATACCCCACTTTGGAAGCCCTTCTCAAGCCCCTGCAAACATTCGCATCCACCCTCACCTTCCGTTCCCCCCACTAACAGCTCTATCGAAGGCTTCCATCCTTCAGCCTTCTAGGGGGAGGCCCTTGTAGTGCAACAGAAAACATGCTCTTTCAGTATCTTGTAACATTGGATTTTATGGTTGTTTTAATCTTCGAAACGTCCATTTGTTTAACTGACTGCACATCCGTTGTCACAAACCGTTTTGGTGAGTTCCACGCTGCACGTTTCTCGCTCTCTCTGATTCGCTTCCTATTTTTGTAGCCTGTACAATATACGTTGGGTTCAGTTGCCTCCGACTTCTATACTGTCGTATTTGACACGTCTTACGTGTCATTGCTTACCGACTAGTATCCCAGGCTCCGCCCAACAGGACTCTGTGGATAACACCAACCAAAAAAGACTTGCATCCATCATGGACCTGGCACCAAAGGATTTCATATCCGCTATCATTGTCACATATGACTTCCACTAAATGACCCCTGAGATCTGGCCAGTAGAGAATCACACCACCGCCAGACCTCGCTTCAGAACCATCGGTCCGAGATAGGTGATACCCAGGGATATACATCTGAGTCAGGGATGTCCGATGATAACCAAGTCTCTGTGAAAGCCATTAGATCCTGGAAACTGTCAGAAGAAAGGAGCTGGATCTCATCAAGTTTGTTACGTAGGCTACGTACGTTAGCATATATCACCCTCAATCCATTCCTCAATCTAGTCGCCCGGGGACGACAAAGACTGGCCTCCAGCGAAGTTTCGGTGTCTTTGGAACCACCCAGAAAATCCACAATGTGGAGATTGCTTTTACGACTCGTTCCGCGTGTCCGTAGCCCAGCAGCAGCAGATTTCACTCGGATTCGGTCCTCAGGGGAGACGTGTCGTACATAGGAGTTTTCATCCTTAAGACGCGTGATCCGTCTCAGAACACCACGACATTCATCTTCGTTTTGGCAGACGACCTAGAGGGCACGAGACTCAGAGGCATCGTCAGACTACCTACCGAGACAAAAAGCAGAGACGATATTTATTCCCGGTTCATTTTCATCAAAAAGAAGAGGTACCATAGCCTAAGGAACTCTTGGCCATGCCGTATCCTTTCAGCCGGGGAGTCCTTGTCGGACACAGGAGCATTCATAGTAATCAAGCAACGATCACGGAGGTGGGGTTTAGTGACCACAGAAGGCTGGAGATTCGGATGTGACAAACTGTCTTTGAGGGCTATTCCAGCTGACTTACTCCGTCCAGGACCAGCATTAGACCGCAAGTGAATGACAGTTTTCAGTTTAGAAACGCTCTAGGTTTTCCTCTCTCGCAGAGTCGCAGACCTGCGCTACGCTTGTACTCAGCACTGCTGTATAGATCTTAGTCTTAAGCACATCGCTCATATCCGCAAGGGTCAGAGGCTCCGATAACGAAGATGAGGGAACAGGACTTCGATAACCAGAAGGAGCGGGAGAATTTACTGCGGCGCGTTCGTCTTTATGACTAGGAGAGGACCGCAGGTTGAGCACAAGCAAGCGTTTCAAAATACGTCTATCATTTAGCACATTCCGACACGGGTCACAATGGAAAGTGATACTCAAGTCAAGAAATTGCTTTATGCACCCTGCAAGAGTGAATATTCAGCTACAACACAGTGAATCAGTTGCAAAGCAATACGACAAAGAACGGGTAGATAAGGACAAACAACACAATCAAGTTGAAGGTCGACTTATCAAGTTAAGGATGACAGAGTTTTGGTCTCGCAAAAGACTGACTGACGTGCGGTAAGCTTGAGTGCGGGCATAGATGACCTTGTACTTTTACCTAGTAGATAAAGTGGTGAAACATTCAGATAAGGCAGTGTGTAGGTGATGACTTGTATCGGTTGGTATCTTAGAGGCCAGCTTTTTACTTGAGCTGATGTATGTGGAAATAAGAGTGTTGGTAAAAGTAGATATCGAAACACAGCTACATTTGGCTAAGTACTTTAATGATCTGAGAATTGACTTCAAATGCTTACCCAAAAGACCGGGAAAGGTCACAGGGTAACAGTACATCCAACAGGGAAGAACACAGGCATTGACAAAGCAAACGATCAACTCACGAGGAACGCAGGTGGCTCTGAGCCGAGAGGCATAGAATGACAGCCTTCGGACTTTTGTGAAAGTTTCATTTACTTATAGCGTCCAAGATAAACTGTAACTCAACATCACGCCGATATTTTACTGATGTGGAAAACGGTAATCCGACACCGTCAATAGGTAACTTGTTGCACAGTGTAAGGAGCTCCTGGTGCCTGGCTCCTTTGTGAAAGGAAAAAATATGTCATGGCACTCTGAAGCACTAAGACAGATCACGAGATTTGGACTAATCATTAAGATCGATCAGAAGCGCTTGTAATCTGAATGAACAACCGGCGCTTTGGTGATTGATGCCCAGGACGATATTGTCTGCATATGTTATCAGTCGCTTCAGTTGGAGCTGGCATAGAGCTGACGTAATTCGATGAGAAAAGGCGAGAAGATTGCTCCTTGAAGAACGCCTGCGTTGGTGAATAGTGGGAAGGAACATCTGCCACTGAGTCGGGTGATCTGAGTGCGTTCAGCAAAATAAGCACTAAGTAAATAGACGATGGAGGGATGTACTCCTTGACTAAGGTCTTCTAGCAATAATTCGCGATTTACATAGCCAAATGCATTGCCGTAGTCAAGAAAACACATCCGAGTTGTCAAGCGATGAAAGTACAAGATGTACGAGGTAAGCAACAGCATCTAGTGTGGACCTCGAACTAGAATAGGCGAACTGGAGGGGTCCTTAGAGCGTGTTCTGGACCGCATCATTTCAAGAATGACTTTCCCTAAAACTTTCAAAGCAACGGGTGCACGCGATAGGTAAATATTGGTTGGATCCTTTTTCCGGCACTGATGTAATGTTGGTACTTCGCCAACAGTCGGCTATTTGTGTTGCTGCATATACATTGTGTATATACTCGCAAGAAGTGTTGCCAAACAATCGGCACATTCTTTGAGTAAGATAATAGCATGTCCGGCTCATTAGCTTCAACGATATGTAGATGTTTCAGTAGATTATTTACAGTTGCACTATCAACGGGAGGCAGTGGTTCAGCAGACACCAACGCTTGGGCAAAGAAAGAATCTGGAGCTGTAATAGTATTATACTTGCAGAACAGAGACAATTTCGCTACGTCTACATCAAAGTAGGACGAACGTCGAGTAACTACGTTAAGTGTTTTCAGCATGCTCCAGTTCACAACTGCTGTTCCCAAGAAAAGATGACATACACTTTGTTAATACGGTGTAGTTCTTCCTTGATACGACCTGTGAGAGATCTTACTGAGATGCCGTCTTTCTCTTTAAACGCTTTCTCCTTAAGTCGGTGTAGCCACTTCATGTGGGGGGAGGAAAAGCTGTCCGCACGGACGTGAATGGTTTCCAAGGGACAACAGACAGCAAAACAACACTTCAAGCAGCCTGTCAAATTATCACGGTACCTGGATATATCAGGGTCAAAGAACAAAGTAAATTTCATCGATGCGATCATTTCGCGAAATCTGTGGAGATTATGTGGACAGCAATGTCTCCACCTGACTTTTCGATCATTGCAGCGAGTAATTTGCTGATGGTTGTTGTTGCTATAAATGACAAGTGCAGTCTTGATTGTTGAGTGATCAGATTTATCGATTGGAGCCCGAGTACCTACAGAGAACCACTTCACAATATTAACAAACACCAGGTCCAAGGTTGCGTTTGCACTGGTTGGCAGATGGACGATGTTTCGCAACTCGAGAGCAGTGAGAGAGGTTGTGTCACATCTATCGAAATCTCCGCCGAAGATGCACAGAGAACGATTGGTGACAGCTGCAGTGAAAGCATCATGGAAATTTGCAGCTACAGATTTGTGATAGGTGGAAGATATGTAAATGTTAGCCAACAATATCGAGCAGTAGCCATTCAAACACCTCGACTTACATTGTAGCACCCATAGTCATTGCTTCACTCTGGTGACAATTGGAGGAAAGTTGCTTGTAGAGGGTTCCGTATGATGTGGCTTATTCGCTGCTCTTTCGGTGTCCTAACGGCCAAAATTTTTGTGAAACTGTTCTCAGCTTCTGTGCGACTCCACTTAGAGTACTGTATCCAGGCTTGTCTACCTTGTCTTGTAAGTGACAAAATGGAAATGGAGAGGGTTTTACAAATGGGTACAAGGTTAGTGCCGGGATTACACGGGCAAACGTATCCGGAATGTTTGCTTAGCTTGGGTATGTACTCAATGCACTACCGCAGAATTAGAGACTTGATCCTCATTCACCGTATCTTAACGGGTAAAATCGGTCCAGACTTGTCTTGGCTATTTAGTCACGCCAAGCTGACTAGTCTCCGAGGTCAATTCCTGGCTCAACGATCCACTCAAGATGGAACACTCACGGGATTTTCCTATCGTTCCAGTCCCCATCTGAACTGAACTGAACTGAACTGAAGCTGTACAAACTGCGTTCTGACCGGGTAAGGAGGGAAACTCGCTTGTCGCGTCGAGTTATTGAACACCGGAACTCGCTTCCGGAGCATGTCGTTAGGGAGTCTAAGGTAAAGCGTTTCAATGGCATTACTAAACTCCTTGTCCTAACTGACTTGTATATTCAGCTTTCCCTTCAGCTTTTTAATTTTCTTCCCACACCTTGGTATTAGCATTATTTAGCTGACATTCCTCCACTTGCTTTCTTAGCTTACCCTTCACTCTTTTACTTCAAATAAACCGGCCTGGCAGGAGAATGTGGGCAGTAATTGGTTGGACAGGGTGTGATGTGGTCTTTGTTTTAGGCTTTCTAACATCTCAAGCAGACCTGTCAATACCCGATCCGACGGTACGCGAAAGAAGGTACACTCAGATGCAGATCCAGATGGAGTGGAATGATAGGAAAATCCCTTGAGTGTTCCTTCTTGAGCAAATCGTTGAGCCAGGAAATGATAAAGTGCTAGTTCTTGATAGATCTAAAACTGAACACCCGAAACACACCCTGATCAACTAATTACTGCGCACGTTCCATGCACTAGCAGTCCGCGCTGTGTAGGTTACGTGAAGTAAGAAAGAAGTAGAAAGTAAATGGTCGATAAAGGGGAATGAAAGTCATTTAAATGAAGGATAACACCAAAGAGTGCAGAGAATGACAGAATAAGAACTAAAAGTTTGAAGATGGATATGGTCAGGAAAAGGGAATGGTCTCGCGTTGCCACCCAATAGCGTCTAACTGACGCTCGAAACCCTTAACCGTAGGTTCACTGACTACACTTTCTGGAAGCGAGTTCCAGCGCTCGATAACGCTACGCGATAATCGAGTTTCCGCCCTGATCCGGTCAGCACGCGGCTTGTGTAGCTTCATGGGATGACCGCGAAGACAAGGCAACCTAGCCGGGCTAAATAGCCAGCTCAAGTCCGGCCCAACCTTCCCTGTTAAAATGCGGTAAGTAAGGATTAGGTCTCGTCGTAGCCGTCGGTAGTGCTTTGAATACATACCCAAGCTAAGTAGACGCTCGGGGTAGGATTGCCCCCTAACCCCTCGACCAATTTGGTACCTACTCTCAAAACCCTCTCAAGCTCCATTTTGTCCCGAACGAGGCAGGGCGGGCAAGCCTGGACGCAGTATTCCAGATGGGGCCGGACGAAAGCTGAGAACAGCTTCACAAATATGTCGGTAGTTAAGACGCCGAAAGAACGGCGCATTAACCATAACATTCTGAAACCCCTACTAGCGGCCTTCCTCCAGTTGTCACTAGAAGGTAAAGACGAGGAATGAACGACACCTAGGTTTACCTGGTTGGAGACAAGGGGGAGTTCGACCCCATCGAGTACTAGCTCGAAGGCGGGAAATTTGCGCCTATACGAAGGACGGAACACTTAGCCTGATTTATGGGCAGTAGCCACAAAGTAGACCAGTCCCAGAGTGTGTCAGGTGCATGCTGTATGGCCTCAGAACCCCCAGGAACATTTACAACATTCAAGAGCTTAAGGTCATCCGCAAATAATAGGGATGATACTCCAAGCTCTCCAGGGAGATTGTTTACGTAGATGGAGAATAGCATCGGTAGAAGGACTTAAACCTGTGGGACACCACTAAGGACCGCTTGGTTAAAGGATAAGCTGCGACCCACACGTACACACTGTTCTCCTCCCTGCATGAACGCAGATACCCAGTGAAGGGCGCGGCCAGATACGCCGTAGGACCTCAGCTTTTGTGATAGCCTCAAATGGCGAACCTTATCAAATGCTTTCGAGAAGTCTACGAAAAGCACATCCACTCCGTGGCCATTGTTCAGTGCCTCGGCCCAAGCCTATCGATCCGGATCCAACTGAACTTAAACATGGAACATGCTTCGAAAAGTGTTATAAGAGAATCTACGGTTAATGCTAGCGGGTGGCAACAAGCAGTTTTTACCTATCCTGAGCAACTTGTATCTTCTATACAGGTCATTGGATCATTGGATCAAGTGATTATGTCTAACTCACAATGTTTGCATTGTGCGAAAGTGGTGACTAAGGGTATCCAGTGCATCGCCTGCAAACTCTGGGCATGTGGCCAAAAGCGTTGCTCGCAACTTACTGAACCGCTCTTCAAGACCTATGCTGAGCACAAGGGTTTGCTATGAATTTGTCGATATTGCATCGATGCTGCTGCGTTGGCAAGACGTCCGCCACATCAACATTCTGAAAGGCGTTCTTCTGCCCCTTCTGCTAGGCGTGCCAGGAAGCGGAGCAACACATCTTCCAGCGACGCTCCAAAGGTCGCGGCCACCCCCGCCCCGTCTACTTCTCATTCGGACCCATTGATACACATCCGGCCTGTTGAGCCTAGGACGAAGTCATATGCAGACGTAGTGAAGGAGAAAGCAACTTTAGCCTCGTGTGGCCAAGATCCAGCCACATGTGTCATCAAGGCTAAGACTAAGTCTTTGAATAAACCTGAGCTTCCATCTTCTCAGTCACAGATGAAGATAATTCTCAACAAAATCTCTGAGCTGGAAAAAGTGATAAAGGAAAATCC